CTCAAATAGATCAAACTTTTTTTTTTTTTTTTTTTTCTTTTTTCAATTCTGTTAAATTAAACATCTTCTCATTAATGGTTACTACCTCTATGTATTGATTTAGTGGGTCAACATATTAGTATAACAATTATTTAAGCCTCCTATTAACTTTTTGATACATTTTTAATCATATTCTTAATAAAAGATGAAGCACAGGTCACATTCACCTTGCAATCTTTCTCTATCTGTAAATGTTCGGACATAACAACTAGATACATATTTGACGTTTGAAATAGAAATGTTTTTTTTCCAGTAACCAATCAGAGCCAAGTCAGACAAAAATGTGGTATACAAATAGTTGAAAAGATTCATCTTGTTCCCTCAAGTCGATACAAAAAACATTTCTAAAAGATTCTGATATGTCACACAAAGATAATTCATTTTCCATCTGTTCACAAAAACATATTTCCTTTTTACTAAATTTTGTGTTATTTTCTATAAACTTGGCTGAAGATTTTTGGTTGGATTGAATGGATCTAGGCATTTTGGTTCCTTTTGTGGAGTTGTGTATTCGGCAGATCCTCCACCCTTTTTCCCTCAAAGGCGGTGCTCTTCCAAAATATCCGTGGGCACGAGAAAGGATTCTGTTTTATTATTAAAAGCCAACATTTACTTGTGACATTTGCAGCCTAATAAAAGCAAGAAGTAAAATGACAATATAAGCTGCATCTACATAATGAGATTTATGAGTTAGAAGTGTTGCTTTTACTGCGTTATTATTGGTAGAGACTCTGTCCTCGTCTGTATGCTCTGTCAGACCATCCAGAAGAGCACGGATAAGAGCCCTGCAGATAAGTGAGAAACTATGGAAGTGTAATCTTTCACTACACTCCGCATTTTTGGCATTCTACCCACTCCGCTCTTTGTGCAATACAATTTTTGTTTATCCCTTTGTTTCTGCATGGGAGAGTCTAAAGATTGGTTTACGTTTGTTCAAGTCAATACATATACTAAGGCTGGGCTATAGCACAAAAATGGATATCTACATTTTTAGTTCATTTTGATTAATTATATGTTTTATAGGATGATTCCGAGTAAAAACAATACAGTCTTTTAATCAGCTGTTTAATACAGAAATAAAGTAAGTAAAGTAAGACTTCTTTTTCCTAAACATATATTAGTGTTGACTCATCATTTTTCTCAGTGGAATTTGCTGTCCCTCCTCTGTTATTGTTTATGCTCTACATTCTCAGGCGTCCTCCCACTATCCAAATGTACCAGTGAATAGGCCATCAATCTCTTTAAATTGGCCATACCAACTACATATGACTTGGTATTTAATCTTTAAATGAAAAAAAAAATAAAATAAATAAAATACAGGTTATGTATTATTCATGTTTACTGTTCACCTTTAAAGCTTGTTTAGGTCTTGCACCAAGTTACATTTCAAAGCTTTTAACCCCTTATGAGTCTCCCGCAGCCGCAGATCCTCAGGCGGGTCCCTGTGGCTGTTCTAAAGTCCAGGCTCCAAACAAAGGGTGATCGAGCTTTTTCAGTCCGGGTGCCTCAGCTTTAGAACGACTTTCCTGACAAAGTAAGGCTCGCACCGTCATTATCAGCTTTTAAGTTACTTCTTAAGACTTTAACTGGTTTTAGCTTGATTTTATTCCTTATTTATTTTTATTATATTTATTTGTATTTATTTATTATAATTGATTGGATTGTTTGCATCATTGTCTGTTTTTGTATGCTTTCACAGTGCTATTTTTATGATTTTGTATTGCTGTTTGTACAACACTTTGTAAACCTTGTTTTTAAAACTGCTTTATAAGTAATTAATTAGTAAAAAAGAAATAAAAGTAATTTATAGTAATTTATGTAGTAAAAGTAATTTATTACTGTTATTGTAACTGCAATCTAAGGATTAATATTTTAGTACTGATTTGCATATTTTTTTGTTTGACTTCTTTTACTGTATGCCTGTAGGATGTACCAATCATAGTTCTGTGTGCACCAGTATATAAAAGCTAAGATGAATTTATAAAAGAACTATATCATGTATTAGTTTATAAAGTAAGATATACTTGATTGTCCCTGAAGGGAAATGTATCCTGTATATCTGACCCGTCCTGTCAAGAGCACTGCTATAGCCGATCATCATTACATTATCACAAATAGACTTGTTCGTGTTGATGATCAAGTGATCTCTTAAGTATCTTCTTGTAAAACATCTGTTCTGAAGACTTCTTTATGCCGGTTAAAGCAGCTCTAGCTATATACAAACTTGGACACATCACAGAAACAGAAGTAGGGAGACTAATTATCAAAGGTTAAGCTAATTAGCACTTCTATTAAAGATACCAACTCCATGAGGATTTCAACAAAACCTCAGAATATTCAAAATAACTAAGAAATAACTTCATATATGAAAAAATGAAACATCTGAGAGGTAGCACTTTACAGAGTTATCTCTCATTATGAAGTTTAGTCTGTATAAATTACAACAAATTCATGTAACAACGCATCTTTTACAATATTAAAGATTACACAATTCCTTTGTATCTTAAAGGTGCACTTTCTAACTTTTCACCTGCACTTCTCTATGGAAGTGTTCCCTAGAATGTTCCACAGTACGGCATTAAGCGTATCTATCTCTGAAGAAGCAAGTAAATGATTCCACCAAGCTGTTACAAGTCAGATCTATGGAGAAGAGACTTCACTCACAGTTAGAATGCATGATATTCAAGGCATTTTTAGAGCAGTTAAACCTGTAATTGAATAAATGCATGACAGACAGATGATATGTTAGATATGCCGTACTGTAGAGAGAATTCTAGGCAAAGCAATAACATTTCCATAGAAAACCTGTAAACTAGACATAGCATGAAAAATAGGTAAATAAACAGACACATATTCTCAATTCCTAACCATTGGATTCTGCAACATATCTGACTGTCATAACCAGCACTTTTGTGGAGCGGCTTTAGGTCTAAGCACAGATAAATGACACTTTAGTCCTTGAGAAAATCAATTGTGCTTCTCCCTCCCGCAGGACGGCGAGAGTACTGCATACAGTCAGCTCTTTATGTCTCAAATGCGTAATCCGCACTGCTCACAAGAATGTACGGCATGTGGACAATGCTTTATTACATAGCGAGGATGTGTGTGACAGCAGCCCTTTGTTTGCTCTCAAAAGGGTTCACTACAAGGGACCAGTCTCTAGATGTGGCTCTCTCAACACTGATCCCTGTTATTTAAGTTTATGCGTGCTCGCTGTAAAAGAGCAAAGGGGTAGACTCTGACAAGTAACCCGCTGTGAGAAATCCCCTTTGTAAATGTGACTCTTATGAACTGCAGATATATAAGCATTTTAATTTGACATTTGATTTCATTTTAACTCGACATCAATCTGGAGAAAAATTGTACTGTACATTGCATTAATATTTTTTTTTTATTTTGTGTGTAACATAGACTGTGTAAAGAAGTCACCCATAGTGTTTGGCTCCAGTCAAATGAAGCTCATGAGGTTGGCAGTTATAGGAGCAAATTTGGAGGCAGGTCCATATTGGGAATTGGAATTTATTTACAAACAAACAAACACCAGGACCATGTAGACAAGGCTCACAGCAGCAGTTAAAGAGAGGGGGTGACCATTTTTCAATGTAAAGTAAATTGGAAACAGTCGAGTCGATGGCAGAGCTGAAATTGGCCCATGAACATTTCCTATCTGGAACACGGTGGCTAGCTGGTGAGTTATGTCAATTTATACATCACAGTCTATGGTTTTTAATGTAGCTGTTACACCAGTTCACCATTCTCAAGTAATGTCTGCGTCCTCAGGCTTCTATGGTCTGTAATATGGGCCACTTTAAAGTGCGACTGAATCCCAAATTCAACTTTTTTCAGGAAAAAATGTGTACTTGGCATTTTCAATTGCCATATTGGTGCAAATTGGTTTAATTTGCAGCTTTGTGGTCTAATACAGTCAGAAACCAAGTGTGTGCTGCCAACTATGGTTAAACTCTGCCCCTACATTAGTGCCTCGATCAGACTTTGAAGTGCAAGCGAAGCTGTTCTCTGTTGTCCAGACCCTGCCCCTCCCTCCTCCTAAGTCCACTAGGTACTACACAATTTAACATGCAAAACATAATTTTTCCTAAGTATTAAAAATATTCACAATAGGTATTTTACTTTACTACTAGCATTGAGTTAACTCAACTGGATGTGTGTTGAAGTGCGTATGCTGTTCATGTATGAATAATGGACTTTGAATATTTTGCCTCAGGTGCACTATATTTGAGAGCAGGTATCTCTACTTTCTACTAAAACTGCATTTTTGAACAGGTCTAGTTTGAGATCTGCTTAAAAGACTGAGGGGTTTATTTTAACATATTCATAACATTTAACGAATCAAAAAATATACAAATAAGATAGAATCACTAGAGAAAAAAAAAAGATTAACTGCTCTTGCTGAACAAAATTCAGCACAAATCTTTATCAAAACCATTGCCTCATAAGACCTCAAAATATGGGTGAAAGACTTTTATTCTTTAAATACATTTTTAACAGGTACTTTAATACTTTCATGTGATTCTTTTACTGGAGTTTTGTTTTGTTTTGTTTTGTTTTGTTTTTTTAAATACTCAAATAAGAAAACTGAATACTTCTTCCACGACTAGATGACATGTGGTTAGAGAATCATGCACTGATAATTGTCGTCACATGTGGTCAGCACAGGCAAGCAAAGTTTGTACATTTGCAAAGACATTTTAACTCTCATTACACTCTTCTTGTTAATTTGGTGGTGCAATTCTCCATTGGAGTGTAAAAAGGTTCAATAAGCCCTGTTAATACTGGTGTGTGTTTCGAGTGTGGCAGTGTTAAATGAGAGCCCTGGTCTAATTCTCCCTCCCATTGTCTTTCTATTTCACAGAGGAACATTGAACGCACCGCACAGGACAAAGCCGGCAGTCCACACACCTGTGATTGGATGTGAGCTGTATTGACCCGAGACCATTAAAATGGAGTTGCTATGGAAACTTCTCCTGCTGCTGTCATTGGTGGAGAGTGTGGCAGGTGAGTCTCCCAAACATCCTGTCTGTTTTATTTGCATATAGTAAGAACAGGGTTATTTCAGGATTTCCTTTTGTAGCTTTTGTATCGATTTAACATCAAGTGAACCACATCGAACTTTCTCAAGTACACGTCGGCCCACTTAGAGGTCCTACATTACACAATAAGAACTCTTGTTAGCTCTAAGATGTGCTATAATGTTGTTACCTCATCAAATACATACCCGGATTTGTGTTTTGCTGCTTTCACACGTGTTTGAGTAAACCTTTATCATTAGTCTGTCTACATCTCCAAAGCTCAAAATGCTGTGCTCCATCTTGTCATGTCATGAAGTGGTAGTTTTAAGTTAACAGCTGCTTTTTACCTTTAATTCAGTAGAGATGAGCAATTCCACGGCTGGAATGATCCAACAGAGTTTTTTTTTTCTGTTTGAGAGAAAAACTCAGCCTAAATATGCAGGATTTGTGTGTTAAACATGTGCGAACGAAACAAAACACAACTCCCGGTACGTGATGAGGAAATCAGAAAACACTGTAATATGGGCATTTTAAAAAATCTAAAAGATGATGTTAAAAGATGTTATAAACTACTAATATGGCAAGGCCCTCCACAAATTCACAAAAAATCAATTTTATTATTGTGTGAATACCATATGATTTGGAGTGAAAAATCCCTCAGTCATCCAGGCAGAATCCATGGCAAAGGACAATTCAATTTGTCAACTGGGCAAAAGTTTATTTGGTCGAATATGTTTCGCTGCTCATCCAAGATGCTACTTCAGTTCTGATTTGGACATATCATTTGGTCATCATTACAGCACTTCAAATAATAATTAACTGAGAGAACAATGGTTGCTAGAACAACCATGCAGCATTCAACTGGTCAGGTGAGGTGTCTTGGCAAAAGAAAAATATGTAATTGTTAGGATATGGATTGAATTATGATTTGGAATTACATTTGCAACACATGTTTAAAAAGTAGGATTATGTATGAGTGTAATTTGTAAACAACTCCAAGACGATTAACAATTAACTCAACATAAACTAATACAAGAAGCTCTGTAGGTCTAACCAGGCTGGCGCCACCGAGTGCCTCCGCTCAGTTTAATTTCTTTCCAGAGACTAGGTCAGGAATTGGAATACACAAGACGGTTCGCAAAACCCCGGAATTGTGAGTCCAGGCACCAGCAACTCAGCGAAGAGCCATATACAGTATTCTGTGTTGGCAATGATTCCCGAGATTGACGATTTAAAGCCGGAACAAAGAGAATGTTTGGTGAATTTTATCAAGAGGAAAGACGTTATTGACCTTCTTCCTATGGGATTTGGGAAAAGCTTAATATACCAGTTAGCCCTGTTAGTAGTGCATTACATACGTCACGACCAAATAGCAGCGATAAATTTTAAAAAAGTACCTGCCTACGTTTGGGCGAGCAAATCCTAATGCTGAGAGGACAGACAGTTTCCACAAAGTAAAACCGGCTGATGTTTCAGGCTTCTGTGGGTCTAAACTTCAGGTACAAAATAAATAAATAAATAAATAAAAGTCAAGATAGTTTGTTCTTTACAGAGGAAATTTTACTACTATTGAAAGCAAATTAATCGCCACCTTTGCCATCAACCTTTACGCCAACATAAATTGCGATTTTGATACGATTGTGATATACAGTTTTGTTCAGGTCTATCGCTGGGGCTTTGCTGACCTTTTTTCAACGGTGATGGCAAAATGTTCAAAATGCCACAGTGAACGATGAGTCAGTCACAATGATGTTCTGCCTACTGTGCTGTTTTACATATTCTCTGTGAAAAACAAAAATCAGAAAAAAAAAAACAAACTTCAGAAGCTTCAAATCTTTATTATTTTGATTTTCTCATTTATACACCCTTTTCTTTTGCAACTCCAATGCAAGGTCTCCATCTACCAAACTCGCTGTTAAAAGCATACTCATTTGTTCCAAAAAGCAGCTCATTTGTTATAAGTCTAATTGAGATGGTGACGGTAGAAGTGCAAAAATCCTGCCATTGATCTTGCTTTTAATGAGCGACCTAATTTCCTCGCACACAAACCATTGAGGGTCAAATGCTACGCCTCGTTTGAATGTCAAAGAAGTCTGGTGCTGCGGAGTAGATGAATACGTTTTTTGTGTCTTGAAAAATGAGTAATCTTTTCATCTTTTTTTCCCACAAATCCGCCAACCCTCCTCTCAGTCAAATCTGAAATAATTAGTGTACCTCCTGACAGTGCTGAATATTCAAGTTATTCTTTCAAAAGCTCTGTATCATGGCAAAATCCTAAGTTTGAGTACATGGCATTTCAAAGTATGATCACTGAATCCCATAGACATGAGTTGTTGTCTAATGATGGTGTCCTGAGGGAGCAGTGACTCACTTTGGATAGGGATCTGCGCTATCAGTCTGCATCATGTCCCACTTAGCCATCCTATTAAATATACAGCACATACTGTCCTGTTTAGCAAGGCTTCACTAGACTATGTTCAAGATATTTTAAGGGTCCCATAGTACGCAAAGTGAACGCTTGTGAGCTTTAAGCCATGTTAGAATGTTGTTACTCCTCAAAAATATACCTAGAGTTGTGTTTTGGTTCATTCACGAGTGTTTGAGTGAGACTTTATTATCTATCTGTCTACATCTCCAAAGCTCAAACTGCTCTGTGATTTCATGAAGCTGTATTTTTCAAGTTAACAGCTCCTTTTACCTTTTTCAATAGAGTTTGGGAATTCCATGGCTGAAATTGTCCAACTGATTCAAGTGAAGGTGTGTGGAGTTTAAAATCACAGAGGAGCATTTTCCGTATTACCACATGACATCACAAGGTCAAACCTGAGTGTTTTCAATTTGAGAGACAACTCACCCTTAATATGCTGCATTTGTGTGTTTATAAATGTGTGAATGAAACAAAGCACAACTCCAGGTATGTTTTTGATAGCCAGGCTGGCGCCACCTAGTGCCTCCGTTCAATTTCATTTCTCTCCGGCGACTAGGTCAGGAATCAGAATACACTAAATTGTTTGCAAGAACCCTGGAAATGCGAGTCCGGGCACCAGCCAATCAGTAAAGAACCATCCATTCTATGCTGACAACGATCGAGGATTTAAAGCTGGAACAAAGAGAATGTTTGGTGAATTTAATCAAGGGGAAAGATGTTATTGCCCTTCTTTTTATGAGATTTGGGAAAAAGCTTAATATAGCAGTTAGCCCCATTAGCAGCGCATTACATATGTCACAACCAAATAGCAGCGATTTGTTAAATGAAACAAATTACCTGCCTACCGTCGAGCAAACGAATCCTAATGCTGTGAGATCAGACGGTTTCCACAAAGTGAAACCAGCTGATGAATCAGGCTATGTTTTTGATGAGGAAAAACATAAAAACATAGATTTAAAAAAATAGTGTAATACAGACCTTTTAAGTATTCTATTAACTTCTAGGACTGTAGACCTTTATTTGTTTTGAGGAGAAGTGGCTCTATTCTGCACTCTTGTCATGTGACTGAACACCCCACACGAGCTCTAAGGGAACGTCCAGCCATCCTATGGAGCAGACCTGGGCATTGTACAGCTGGGTCACATACAGCCCTTTGATTGGCTCTGACCGGCTCATTTAAGCTCATTTGGAATTACAAAATAAACATATTTTATAATTTTACCTCATGCATGAACTTTTATTTTAAAGGTGTTTTTTAAATTACATTTTTTGTAAGGCAACCTCACTTTTTCATTGCTTAGTTATGACATATCCTCTTACCAGTCTTACCGGCTTGTCAAAACAATGTTATTTACTGCTTTTTTTTTTTTTTTTTTTTTTTTTTTTCAAGAATTCAGTTAAGCATTCAGGCCCGGCCTTCCACAATAGTTTCTGTTTCTCATGTGGCCCCATGGAAAAAAATAATTGCCCACCCCTGCTGTGGAGCAAACTCATTTTAAACGTATATATCTATATCACGCTGGGCTGATTTGGCAAAACTCCTATGATCCATGGTTGGGACAAAAAACACACTGCTCTTCCTGAATCTGTAAATACCATAATGATCTGAATTAGTCTCTGATGTTAAGCTAAGTTTGTATTGTGACATCTCTGCCACATTTGACCTAAAATGCCTCTCTGTAATCAGTTGTTTTCAAAGAAGTATTCATTGTTATAATCCCCCATTGTTATCTTTCCCAATTTGTTCCACTGATGGCATTCCTCAAAAAGTTAAAACAGCATAATGCAGTCTGGCTTATCCATTCTTATTTGGCTTTTCTGCATAATCAAATGCTTCTTTTTCCTCTAATTGTGGAAAAATTATATAACACGGCCAGTTTTCATTTGTTGTTCAATTATTCAACATATTTTGCTCATAAACAGTCTAATCTTAGGATAAAAAATAATAAGTGGGAGCCACAAAACTGCTGCTAATGCATATTCTCCCGGTCGCATCTCCAAATTCCCCTTCAAATTTGCCTGGTATGAAACGGAAACAGAGCTATTGTCAGCAGAAACGACAACTCTCAGACTGAGTTTTTATCTTCAAGACGTCAATTCAAGTCCGTGTCTGTGTCTGGCAGTGGCAGAACTAGACCGCTCTGTAAATACACTGTGGCAATTACGAGCAAAACCCACATTCATAGTATTCGCCTGCAAATTAATGGGTAACAATGGTGCCGTGTGCAAATAATTTCTGAAAAGACTTGTGTTGCGTTGGCCTTGCCTCACTCTTGCACTCAAACGCAGTAACTCTCAGAACGCAGTATTAATATTCAACATGGTGGGACTAACATTACATATGCTCCACTTGCAAGACTTGTATGGCGCAGTATAAGATTATAGACCTCCTGCTGAAAAAAATATGATGGCATACCAATGTTTTTGTGTGACCGTTGAAGGTGGGAATCCGTCACCTGCTTATTTCTGTGGATATGACATTGCTCTGTCTAGAATGTTCCATAATATGACATTAAACGGCTCTACCTTATTTTATTCAATTACAATTTTTATAGCTC